GGTGGAGTTATAAATTAGGGAGGTTTGAGGAATGAAATTCATTTCTGAGAATGAAATGTTTGGTTTGTGTTCTGTGCCCATTGAATGAGGGAACTAATGAATGAATGAATGTCAAAGGATGTGATGTAGCCTATGGAAAACTAGGAATGCCCCTTAAAAATAACTATCTATTGAATAAATTATTTATCATTTCAAAAATAAAAATGTAAATAATCACTAATCACTAATGACAAATACATGTACATATAGAGCTGTTAAGTTGAAATGTTTAAAATTTAGTAATAAATAGTACATTAATAAATAAATTTTATATTTTTATATATTTTATATTTTAAATAAATTGCATTTCAAAAAACATAGGCCGGTTGCTTGCTTAATCCATTTTCCATTAAAAAATAATTCATTCATTTTTATTGATTAATCAAGAAAATGCTTTATACTGTTGCATAATATATTGATAATTGATTCATTCAGTTTATTTTTAAGTGCCACTCCTTCTCATCTGTATTAAAGTGTCCTAAATTATTCAAAGATAATGTAAAGATTAAAATAAATACAATTTAAAAAATTATAAAAAATTTGCTTCTGGATTTTTTTTTTTGTGCTGTGAATGGTGATTCATGATAGTGTATTATTTTTTTTTTAATTCATCATCATTATTCTTATTATTCTTATTATTTAAATGCATTCATTAATGATGGTGTATGGTGTACGCTCTCCCATAGAGAAACTGAATAAAGAATCAGGTTTGAACAGATGATACTGGAGTAGGTTTAGAGATGTAAAAGAGGTGGAAAGTATCTTTGGAGTCACAGTCAACCTGGCTGGCGGCATCCCAAGAAAAATGGTTTATGTGTTACTTTGTATTTTTGTTCTATTCGTGCTGGATCAGTCAAGATCTCCGTTTACAGTAGCTCACAAAAGGAAATCAAAGCTCTGGCATCCCACCCACACACTGATCCCAATACGTCTGTATGTATCAGGGGTGTGGACTCGAGTCACATGACTCGAGACTTGACTCGGACTCGAGTCCCAAATTTGATGACTTGCGACTCGACTCGACATAATTAAAGAAGACTTGAGACTCGACTTAGACTTTGACAGCAATGACTCGAGACTTGACTTGGACTTGAGCCCTGTGACTCGGAAAGACTTTATGATCAGATCAGAGTCGTTATTACTCTAGACGCGTCCCTGCGTGCTTGCGCTTGACTGGCAAAAAGCCAGAGACTGCGTTCAGGGAGCGCTGGATATACAGTATATGCTAGTATAAATTAATGGAGTAATAGCATAACTTACGACAAAAGAACCGAGATAAGAAAAAAAAAAAGACACAATTCGTATATAGCTATGTCCGCTCCGCTCCGCTCCAGCAATCACTTCACTGGTGCTCGCCTCATCATCACTGTGACCGCTGCTGTTAAACGCTAAACATATTCCTCACTTCTGCTGTTTGTCCGACACCGAGGTGCAACATGAGTGATGGATCCGCATCCCGTCACGACCCTCGCACTCTGCCAACTCCATGTGCTTTAATTTTCATTTTTATTTGTAATAAACACCTCTCTGAGACCTTTTTTTTT